AATTAACAAATTAACAATTTCTAAATTCAAATTTTTGGCCCAATAATTTGTTTCATTTCTATTTTTTTTTATTTTTGGCCCAATTATCTATTTTATTGTCTCATTTCTTAGCTCAACAAGATCCAACCCACTAAATAACCCTAAATACCTACACTAAAGTGCATAACGCTGTCTCGACTCTCGCAGCCTCGCTGACATTCCAAAACATATACAATCGTCGACCGACGCTGTGACCTCCGATCGAAACTGTGACCTCCGCCAATCGAAATTTTGACCGTAGCGATTATTTGAACAAGGTAGCCTACTAGTATCTGACATTTCAAAACCATTGAACGTGTCGTTAGTTGTATTTATATAATGCTGTTATAAATGTGAAAAAATTTAATTATAGTACAGAACCGAACGGTTCCATAATTATATTTGGACCCGACGGTTCCATTTACTAAATACTCGAAAATTTTGGTTCGGTTCGACTCTAAAGAGAACTGAACCGAACCGACCCGCGCCCACCCCTACATTTAGCTTTTGAAAAAATGCTTAATTTTACCTGTTTTGAAGATTCAAACTAGAATATGGAATAGCATAAAACCAAAGTTTCCAAAATTCTAAGCATGTGCTTTTAATTTAAATATATAATTAAATAGCTATTTTTCTTTTAATTGGTAGCTAAAATCAAAAGGTTCATTATCATTTTCTAATTGGATAATTACATCCGCACTACAAATTTTTATTTGGGTCATCAACTTTTGTTCAGCATTGCATTTATATCCTCAATTTTTTAGTTGCACTCTTATACTTAACCTTCAATTTATTAGCACAATTTTTCTTTGATTCCAATTTCTGGAAAAAATAAAAATAAAAATCTTTAGAACATAAAAAGATTTATTTGCCCATCGTATTTTTCAATAAGGAATAGCCGAATAGATAATATTACAAAACTTCAAAAATATATTTGTCTCTCGATTCAAAGTAAGCTTACAAAGAAATTGTCACAAGCATACGATGTACTAATTAACAGAATATAACAGATAAGAATGCACTAAAAAATAAAATTAAAACACAATTTCGTAAATATGATAGTGAGAATAGATTAGGAACCTTCATTGCAATTAAATGTGATATTAACCCTAATTTTATGACGTGGACATTTATTACATACCACCCCCTACTGTTTCAAAAAAAAAAATTTGGTCCATAAATCTTATACATCATCTTTGTGGTTTGGAAAGTAAATAGTTTATTAATTAATAGGTTATTTTTTTCAATCATGCTATAAGTACAAAAAATTTTGGCCAAAAATCATTGGAAGATGGAAAAAAATACGAATCAGATTTCGCCACGTCAACATCTGCATAAATTCGATAAGGAATTCCTTGTATTTGAGGCTTTTACCTATTTTTTCCCCATATTTTAAGAGCATTAATTTAATGGAGTCAATAACGAATTGAGTTGGTTTGAAAAAAAAAAATCCATTAAAGTCAAGTCGAGATAAAAATATAAACGACAAATCACATATTATTGTCTGAAAGAAATTAATTTTTATTTATTAAATTATATTTCATACTACATTTCAAGGAAGTGAATTTCTCAAGAATAAAGATCATTGTCGTTTTAAAAAGTATTTATTTCAACCTAGTCAACAATCCATCAAGAGAAAAGGGTGTCCCACTAAAATCGACTCTGAGAATAAAAATAAAGAACATTTTGGAAGAATTGAGAAGCTATTGGAAATGATTTTGCAAATTGTGGGGGTCCTGTAACTTTGTCCAGTCAAGTCCACCTATCTATGCTTATGGCTATAATCACTCCAACTAATTTTAATAATTTTTAAAGGTACATTTCAACAATCTTTTCAAATATATTTGCTATAGAAATTTTCAGATTTTCTTTCTCCTTTCTTTTGAGTATTTCTTGTTAGTTGGAAAATTGAGGAGTCATGTGATCATGTGGGTTGGATTGTCCTTGATTCTCGAATCATCTAGAGTTAAAGTATCTTGGCTTGAAGTAGTAAGAATAAGGTGATCGTGTACGTGACAAAGTTGGCTTATCTAGAAAGACGGGTCTTACTTGGCAAGGCTCTTGAAAAATATACATTTTTCTTCTCGAAAATTTAACTAGAAAGATAAGAGAAAATTAAGGACAATGAGTTTTGAAGTCTTTTGAACATGCATGATCTATGTTTAAGGATCATGCTGAGCAGCATGAAGAACACATATTTTTTTCCTCGAAAATTTAACTACGAAGATAAGAGAAAATTAAGGACTACGAGTTTTGAAGTCTTTCAAAAATGCATGATCTATGTTTAAGTATCATACTGAGCAGCATTTTTTAAACTAGTTAATTTGTCGAAAATTGCATGTACAAACTTTAGACCAATTTTGCAATATTTCATTCATTAATCATTCCAAATTCTTTCATTTTCATGTAAAGATCATTTCCTTCACAGGTACGTTTACCCACTCCGCCAAATATGCAATTGGGCAAGTTGTTATCTAGAGAGAAAGGAATGGTTAGATAAAAGAAAATATGAAAGGAAGAAAAAGAGTGAATCTTTCACAAGCTACAAAATTGAGTTGTTGAAGAATAATATCTTTAATTAATTTAGTGGATGTCAGCGAGAAATAAAGGAAGAGATAAGCGCCCAAAATTAATTATAAGTAAATAAAAGAAAAGTGAACAAAGCTCTTCAAGGCTGGTAGCAAAGCCTTGCCCAATTTCTCTTTGCTTTGCTAGTTTGCTCCCTCGAGAGACTTTTTTTTTATTTTTACTTTGGAGGATTGTTTAGGTGACAATGGATGGAATCGAGCCAACTCAGCTCGTGTGAGTAAACTAAGTTTGTTTGAGTCTTTGATTTGTGGACTTTATGGGTCGACCTGAACTATCTACGATTCAATCCTTTTTTAAAGAAATTAATAAATAAGTTGGTCCACAACCCAAAATGAGTCGACTCATTGAAAAATGATGTCTGGCTCAGCACATGGTTCATCTCAAAATGAGCCAACCTGAGCCTAGATGAGTTCAGCCCATTTGCCATCCCTATTCATCACTTCTCTTTGATGGCTTTCGACGATAATAGCTATTATATAAATTAGAATGTTGATCCTATAAAATATCTGGTTATGATTATTATATAAATACTACTCTCTTTTAAAAACTAAAGAAACATTTTGTATTAGTAAAAAATAAATATAGTTTTTTTTTTCATTTAATCTTTGTATTTATGTTAAATTTAAAGTTTTCTACTTTTCCTTTTCCCATATCCTTTTTTTAAACTAGTTAATTTGTCGAAAATTGCATGTACAAACTTTAGACCAATTTTGCAATATTTCATTCATTAATCATTCCAAATTCTTTCATTTTCATGTAAAGATCATTTCCTTCACAGGTACGTTTACCCACTCCGCCAAATATGCAATTGGGCAAGTTGTTATCTAGAGAGAAAGGAATGGTTAGATAAAAGAAAATATGAAAGGAAGAAAAAGAGTGAATCTTTCACAAGCTACAAAATTGAGTTGTTGAAGAATAATATCTTTAATTAATTTAGTGGATGTCAGCGAGAAATAAAGGAAGAGATAAGCGCCCAAAATTAATTATAAGTAAATAAAAGAAAAGTGAACAAAGCTCTTCAAGGCTGGTAGCAAAGCCTTGCCCAATTTCTCTTTGCTTTGCTAGTTTGCTCCCTCGAGAGACTTTTTTTTATTTTTACTTTGGAGGATTGTTTAGGTGACAATGGATGGAATCGAGCCAACTCAGCTCGTGTGAGTAAACTAAGTTTGTTTGAGTCTTTGATTTGTGGACTTTATGGGTCGACCTGAACTATCTACGATTCAATCCTTTTTTAAAGAAATTAATAAATAAGTTGGTCCACAACCCAAAATGAGTCGACTCATTGAAAAATGATGTCTGGCTCAGCACATGGTTCATCTCAAAATGAGCCCACCTGAGCCTAGATGAGTTCAGCCCATTTGCCATCCCTATTCATCACTTCTCTTTGATGGCTTTCGACGATAATAGCTATTATATAAATTAGAATGTTGATCTTATAAAATATCTGGTTATGATTATTATATAAATACTACTCTCTTTTAAAAACTAAAGAAACATTTTGTATTAGTCAAAAATAAATATAGTTTTTTTTTTCATTTAATCTTTGTATTTATGTTAAATTTAAAGTTTTCTACTTTTCCTTTTCCCATATCCTTAAGAATTATATTTTTTATTTATAAATTTCAATAAATGAAAAATAAAATAAAATGGAAAACTCAACTCGACCCTTGGCACATATCAAAATGAGTTCAAGCATCCCTAGGACTGAGTCGAGCTGGCAAGCGATTTTTTTTTTTTTCCTTTTTTATTTCATTTTGTTAACTGTCCATACGAACGAGTTTTTTTCTGAAAAAAAGATATGCAATACAGAACTAATTCGTATTTTAAACTTTATTTGAACAACGTACATATTCGATACATCCAAGGTAAAGTTTACCTTTCATTATTTTATTTTTTAAAAAAAAAAAACCTTAAAAATAATGCGATTAATTTCATCCCTCTTTTCTTTTCTTTCTTTTTGAAAAAATATTAATCATCTAAACGCATAAGAATTCACTTAAAAGTAACTTTACCTTGAACTTAGCCAAACGTGTTCTTGCAAGAGTGATTCTGAAAACTTTCAAACTAATGTAATTGGGTGAGTAAAAATACATGTCATCAATTATAAAAAATTCATTTCAACATCCAAATTTTTATTTATATACTAAAAAAATTCATTGCTACCAACTCTGAAGGGAAATTGTAACATTGGTCCCTAACATTATGTCCATGCGTCTTAACCTTTAATTATAATTTCATAATCAATTTTCAACGACGACTGAAAGATAGGTTTTGTTTTTCAACTTGGATGGGTGCCTAAACATGCATGCAAGGCATATTTCTATGAGAAGCACTCGGCAAATTAATGCTTTCTATGACGATTGTGCAACTATAATTAAAAGTTAAGCACCAAATTGCTTCTCGAGCAAAATGTTGAGAACCATTACTGCAATTTTCCCAACATATGCTCCCAGAAGTGACAAGAAAGAATGGAATTAACATATAGAACCAAACAACAACTTGTAATCTACCAGCCTGCCTTTAAATTATATTCACACAATCATATTTTTTCTCTAAAGAACTATGCACAAATGGGTACATTTATGTACATGGTAATAACAACACTGTAATAACTCTGATTCAAAATCCTATGGTATTTTGAGATGTATGTACTCGACACCATATTTACCGCACAGATGCTGCAAAATCCGGTCCATGTCCTCCCCGAAACAGTTTTGCGTCAAGAAATGGATTCGTAAGCCCAAAACGTATCGGGGTCAGGGCTGAAGAGAGAAAAATCTCTGACTTCTAAATTTGCTATATGCCAATCAACAAATCGAGCTTGAACTGCCTTGAAAAGTAGCAGGATGGTGGGCAAAAGCCACCATCTCTCGTCCTCCCTGCCACATCACAAGAAATTAATAAATTCTTCATAATTTACACACAAACTATAGCGCCTGAGCCCCAGTTCCCAAAGTCCTTGGGGGACGCTAGGAAGTTTAGTCTACAGAATTTTCTAACTTAGAAAGGGTTGAAGAAACCGGTCGTGGTGCTGTTCTACCATATTAGTTCTGAGGAGCTTCGGAATTTCTTGGCTATTCCAATTTCATACTTTACTGCCTAACCTTAATCCTTTAAGAATAGAATACTAAACTTATTCGTTGTCAGCATATGAAATTTCAGAATCATTCAAAAATCCACCAAAATCCAGCCTTGCGAAATCTGTAGTCTACCCTTAGTTCCGTTTCTTGACACCAAATAATCCAACTAGTTCTTCAAATTCTAATAGCTATTTCTGCAGTTTTTTTTTCATATTAATCAAGCATGATATCTTTAGTTAGGAGCTTGCGCCTTCTAATCAGCTGAAATCCCGGGAAAAATTAAACATGATTATTGGTTTTGTACATTGTGCACTTGGAAGTTCTGAACTCGATTGCCATTGATACTGTGCTGTATAAGAAAGTACAACTCACTTCATAAAATTCCAAATGTTGCTCTCTCCAGGCTGCTTCCAGGAGGAAATTCCATTATGAATTAAGCCACATAAAAATGCCACAGCCTGCAAAAAGCAACAAATTTACTAAACGAAACGTGACCAGCATTAGTTATCGAGGGTAACGGTGGAAAAACACTCGTCTTCCACAGCATAATTCTCTCTTCTTCTTTTTTTTTTTTTAAAAAAATTAATATAGGTACTAAACATTAAGATAATTTATATGGCTTCACAATCAAAACACTGAAACACAACAAAATGCATTTAGATAATTTCTAGTTCAGAAAAATTATTTAAACGATGCTTAGGGGAAGTCAACAAAAAAGGTCAAACAGCCAGGCTCCATAGGAAATGGGAAGAGTATATGAGCTAGTGTTTTTAGAAATTTTATTGCCAAATTTAACTTGATTTAACAAATGCAGATGTTATACTTCATATCATTATTGGCATGTTTGGCAGGGAGGGTATGATAGGACTGGACATTATTATGGAAGAAAAAGAAGCAGAAATTTGTTTATTATATTGTCTAGTCTTTTCGAGTTCTGCGTATGAAAATACACA